CACACATTCGTATCAATTACGATTCATGTTTTAGTCGAGAATTTAACCATTCAACAAATACGCTCTTACAATATCTTCCCGATTTTCTTCAAGATTTTGGGACCCGATTAATAGAATTGTTAATGTCGCTAATATCTTATGTTACCTTTATTGGCGTTATCCCTTCCCGGAAATTACAAGTTGTTGCCCAAAAATGCGTTTTTTGGAACAAGAATATATATTACAACCCACTGTTTAATAATTGCCAACACTTTATCGAGGATATTCTCAAAAAACTCGATCTAAAATTTGAACCTCAAGGAGAATTCAAAAAGTTTCTTGATAGAATTATTTACAATGCAGATGATAGTTTCTTGTTCCAAGAGAAGGAGTTCTTTTCGAGACAAGATCTTGATCAATTTGCTGATCAGAAGTGGTGTAAAATCCAAAATATTTGGGATAAAAGATTACTTTTATGTTATTCGGATATGATGGAATCTATGTATCAGATTGACGGAAATTCAAAATTTGGTCCTATGACAAACAAAGAAAAATGGCATAAAAGAGAATACGAACTAAGGGAGAATTAGCGTTATGATTAGCTTGTCGTTGTTATTAGTTTACTTTATACTAAAATTAATAAAGTATTAGCCACATCAGTTTATGATTTATTTTAACGTCTGGTACAGCACAAGTCTTATAGTCTTGCACAACTACATACTGTAAATGGAGCCGGCAAAATTTTTGTCATACCGAACAGAAGTTCCAACGAGACATTACGCAATTAAGGTACGAATTTTTTTTTCTGAGAAATTTATTAAGTAAATGGAAAACCGTTGCGATCCGCTGACATTATTATGGAAACATCATTTACTCTGTAAAACGAAACGATACATAATGACCACAAACTAAATCGATTAACTTTCTGCATTTGTGGACATCTTGAACTTCGTGTTTGTAGATAAAATAATATCAATTTCGCATGATCCTGTATTTATTACTTATGTGACATGACAGATTAGATTATTTTTTAATATCACGAAATTTATAATGTCGATTTCTTCCAAAGCCTGTTTATAAATATAAATTTCTATAAATATATAAAGTATTGAGTTATGACCTGTGAAACAATAGTATAGTGAGTAATGCTTTTAAATCTTCAAATATACTGTATATCTCTAGTTTAATACTTATAAGGGCAAAACATATAAAAATATTCTTTATAAGTGGATTTATTAAATATTTTACTTATGTTATACTTAATTATTCAAATTTTGATCAAATTTAGTTAAATTGTATAAAGATAAGATCTCTGATCTTTCTAATAATAGTAAATTAAAAACAAATTGAAATAAAAAGAGATCATGAAAAAGGATTCTGATTTAACTTCAATAAAAGTTTACAACTTCAACTAATATGTTAAACAATCTATAGCACAAAAAAGATATCCTAGCTTGAAGCTATTTTAATTTGGCACTTGCTTAAAAAAAGAGAAACAAAAATTTAAAATAAAAACAGAAATAAAAATTTGAAACTGTAATTGGTGATAACAAGTATAATACTTTCTTTAAGATCTTAGAATAAAAAGTATTAAACAGGTTATTCAGATATTCTAATTAATATTGGAAAATATATGTTTTAAAAACTATTAGAATCTAGATTAGATTAATTAATTTATAGGCTAGTAATAATATTTTTCTTTTCTAAAGATTTTACTTAAAGTATAAATTTATTTTCAAGATAAATTAATTTGTATGCTAGATAAGATTATAATAGATGTGAGAGTAAATTAATTTAAATAGATTTTGTAGTTATATAAATTATATTTGTTAATAATAAAACATGTATTATTGGTATTTTTTATTTAAAAAAAAAATAATAAAATAAAGTATTGAGTTATATATATATGAATAAAACTTTTTTAAATTTGAAATTGTTTTTTTTTTTTTTTTTTATTGCGAATAAGCATAAAATGCGAGACTTTATTTACTAATTGATAGTACTGTCATTACATTAAGAATCCTACACCACCT